AGCAGCTCAAGAATTATATTTTAATGTCTTTAATAAGATCCTTGGAGAGGGCTAACATGTAAACTTTTATTTCACATTTTTTAAAGTGCTGCAAATAATAACAAATGTGCATTTCGACACATGAAAGAATATAAATCTTAATATATGAAAGTTTAGGAAGGCCACCTGAATCATAAAGAAAAAAAATCACTCTGCTGCTAATCTTGCATATTTCCCATTTTAATTTTCAAAAGAAGACACAGAAAACTATGTTTAGCTAGGGCAACTTGCAACATTCATGTTTTAAAGCCTACATTGGCTAGAAAGGATAAGTAAGTTAGGCATGGGCACTTAGGGTCATGTATAGATAAATAATATAATGTTAATTCATTCCTAATTATGATTTTGCAGGGACTTGAACTTCATGGAATAATCAAGTGGTATGACTATATTAATTTTTGCCAAGAGGGTCAAGCTGACCAGCAGCCAACTTTCATTCATGGAAACAACTGAAAAATCAACCCTAAACCATTAACAGATGTACCACACTGGTGTCTTCATATGACTATCACATCATAAAATTCCCAGGGATAAAACTTTTAATTTCTGAAATCACTCTATCTAGAAATGTATTTTCATAGACCTACACCTGATTTTTAAATCTAAAGAAGAGTAAGGGAAAGAAGAATAACAGAAAGGAGGAGTAGGGGTAGAAAAACACAATCTTCATTCATTCTGCCACTAATGGAAACTATCCTCATTTTAATTAAAAAAAAATTCTTGTATGGCAGTCAAAAACAATGACTAAGAAGAGGGTTTCATTCTGCTCAAGGGCAAATTTAAAAAAAAGTTTCTTTTAATCCTACAGCAAGCACTGAATCCATAGGTTTTCAAAATTCTAGAGATTAGAATTTATACCTTAATAATTTCAAAAGCTTAATATCTGCAGTTAAAAAAAATCTTTAAATTCTGTGAAGCTCATTATAAATGAGTTTGGCATGAGCACAAGTTTAGGTTTTTAATACTCAATAATTCAATCAATGATCTCCAATTTTGAATTTCCATGATTAGAACATTATTTTAAAGACCTAAGGCTAATTAGTTTAAAAAGTCATTATTGAAAACTATTTGATTGAATATCAGTTTCCAACTGGTGAATGGACAACCTAGATAACAGGTAAACTAGACTGTAATAGATCCCCTGAATAAACACTTGACACTTGCTATAAAAGTATAAGCTTAAATCTATAAATAAAAACAATTAAAATGAAGGAGTTTAATTTTATAAAATATCAAAGTTCTATTTTTTTCCATTTGTTAAAGTAACCCGGAAATTATGTTGGGAAACACATCAATAGACACCTGACATGTTACTCAATAAATATTTGTTGCATGAATAAACTTCTCTAAAATTCCAGTTAGCAAATGTCAAGTTTGGCACCTGAAGTACCTAGGAAAGGCAAACGATTTGGTTGATATTACCCAGTGATATAACTTACAATTTTAAATTTAATATTTTCTGGGAAAATTAAGAGATACAAAAACCTTTTAGACCGGAGGACAGACAGGTACCAAGAGATTTTCAATCATATTCATTTGTACATATTATGATTGCCAAACATTAAGTATTGCAAATTCACAAGAGCTATTTTTAAGGCTCAGTAAAATAGAAAATTAAACACTTTTAAGTTATACTGACCAAAATAACTTATGCCTAAAGCAGCTATTCACACAAAAAGTACTCAAAAAATGTCATCTAATGATTTCAAGCATACTTTGTAAATTGTTCCTTAACGGTATTTTTTTCCCCTAAATTGTTGACATTTTCCTTAATTTTATATGGTCACCTCCACTGAGTGAAAGTGTTAAAAGTAAACCTCAATTTTGTAACATTTGTCAAGAAGATACTATGAAAAAGATTTCAGTGCTTTAAAGTATGCCATTAGTAAGATACTTAATCAAAAATGAGACCAATAATAACAAAACCTCACATTAAGCCTCTCCACATTATGCAAGATAATACATAACAAATTATAATTTAGCATCCCTGATCTTCAGAAGAATTAAGAGGTAGAAAACTTCTATCTAGATCTCATAGAGAAGCTAAGTTTTAGAGGGTGTGCCTTAAAGATGAGCCCACCACGCAAATGGCTACACATCTAATATTAGGAAGAAGCTATTCAGATAAGGCAAGGATTTAAAAACTCATATTTTGGAAGTGAAACAAATTCATTCAACATTATTATCTCAATTACTTTAAAACTCCTCAAAAGTCCAAGTAAAAGATGTGGATAAGCAAAGTGCTAATTTGCAGAAATGTGAAATTATTCGAAAGAGCATCAGTGGTGGAATAAGGCTAGGATGAAAAATACTGTTTAGGTAAACAAAAGATCTCACAAAAACCAAACCAAAGCAAAGCATTATCACTTGAGATGAAGGTTTTTCTTTTAGGAGTTAGAGAAAGTCTTAACGAAAAGATGAGGAAATTAAATCCCTCCAAATCATTACATGAAAAAGCAAAAATCAAGCAAATTTGAAGGGACTTCTATTAAAAAAAAAAATACCCTGCTTAATTTTAAAGTTTTATCCAAATGTGACAAAGAACAATAAATGAGTTGCATTAAAACACGAGGCCAATGGTCTTTGAAAGCTTCAGTAAGCTGCCAGGCACCTTTTCCCTCATACATTCTACTTTTACATGCTAGAAATCCCAAATTGGGCACTCTAAGTTCCTGTTTTTAGGTAACATTCTCAAGGAACAGGCTCACCCCTATAAAAATTGCTTGTTATATACTTATAACTGGTTAAGTACACATTTATAAAGCCTACCAAATTGCAATATAAAATCAGTTTTGACAATTCTGATATTTTCATTTGAGAAATCAATTCATAATTTAGAAACTATTAACTCAGAGTTTTTAAAAGAACGCAATTACTGGAGACATTGTGGTTTATGTCCGGTGGCCTCACACGAGGCCTTCTGCATTACCCAAATATGAAGCTGTTTTCTTCTACAAGTTAATGCTGCTGGGTGCTAGTTTATAATACTTAAAACTCCATCTTCAGGTTGGTGTCAGTAGATAGCAAACACCACCTAGTTTGTCACCCCAGCACAAAGAGGGCATGTATCACCACTGTAGACACACATCTGTAAACTTGCACACTAATTTTAATCTTAACAAGGAATTTCAGTGTCTAAGTGGCTTTAAGTTAAAAAGATGATTCAAGCATTGTGTCCTTTGTTCTTTAGGGTTATGAATAGCTTATTGGAAAACCCAGAACCTTCTGGATCTGTGAGGTAGTAGGCTTCAATCCTCATCATGCATAGATCACACTTCTCCAAAGCTGGTATGGCCTGTCTCCCTGGCATGTTCCCTTGCTTCTGCTTGTCCAGTTAATCCCTTTTGACATACCATGCATCTCAGGGTGAAGCGGTTTACATCAGTAAACTGTCTCTTTCTTTTAGCTTCATCTGCTAATTCCAGTGCTTGTACAAGAACAATATCATCATTAGAGGAGAAAATGGTCAGAGGAGGGGTGTCTGGGTCGGGAAAGGTACGTTGAAGTGGATCGTAGTGGATGCCATCATAAATAAGCAGGACCCTTTTGGTATAGCCCGCATCTTCCCCAAAACGATCAATTCTTACTGTCTGTGTATCTACTACACATATTTCGCATTGATAAAATTTAGACAAAATTGATATCTCAATAGCTCCACCCCAGGTATCATCCCTTTTGATCCATTCACAGTACTCTTGATTTGTTTTTCCCAGTATTGCCTCGCTATAGAAGTCTGGATCACTTGCTACAATTTGTGCTATGAGGCGCCTCATCTCAGGGGCACAAGCTGGATTCAAGACTCCTCCTTCGACAACATAGTACACACTGGTAAAGAGGCAAGAGTTGTCCGCTGGGACCACGGTTCTGGTAAGCACAGGCAAAGTTTCCCTGACGTAACTAGGAGCACCATGTTTTGTAAATGCAGGTGAAGTTTGGGGCCTGGTTTGGTCTTCTTCAACAATCAGCATGTCGCCTGTTAAAAACAGAACAAATCCAGAACTGCAGAGAAAGTATAGATGAAACTGTGCGGGTGTTCACTAGCCAAGTCTGTAAGTTACAAACAGGAGTTAAAGTATGAGCTGGGCTTATTGGAGAGAATATAGCTTTGCAAACCAGTGACCAGTAACACTCCCTGTTAGCTGAATCTTTTATAAAGTTCAAAACAGAACAAAAAACAAAACACTTTAGGTTGCAACCCAATTTTGTGAAGTAGCCTGGGTTATACACCTTTTTTAACTTTTTAAAAAAGATACATTTCAAGAACAAAATTTTCTTAGCTTGCTATCTATTTAAAAAGCACAAATCTTCCGAATGGTGTTTACCACAGACTAGACCACTAGGGGGTTCTCCTCCTTCTGAAACTTACCTAGTCTGTTCCGTGTTTACAGGATCTTTGACGCAAGTATCGGTGGAAGCTTTTAATTATCAATATTGCTGTTCAAATTTTAATACTGAACAGAAACAACTGCTGTTTAGAACTTGAAAGGGCCTTTCGTTAATGTGTAAGAGCAAACTCTAATATGAATACACCTGTCAAAGTCAGTATATATGAAAGTGAGTGAAAAAACCAGGAAAGCAAGAAAGAAAAGTACTCTGCATCCTACAGATCTGCTATCTTCTTTCAGTAATATTGGGGGAAAGAACAATCAGGGCAGAGAAAACAGGTTCTACTTTTTCATATCTTTGTGGACGCCGATGGAAAACAAAATGAATGAGGCGTTTTCAAGGTAGACTGAGGAAGGGGGGACTCCAAGGCTTTGGGTTTCTTACATAGGTTGGGTCCTCTCTTTCAACCAAGGAGTTGGTAGATACTCGTCTCGTCAGAGTTCTATGTGCTTTAATCTATCCTTGTCCTTAAAGACCCCGGCTTTCCACAGCACTTTGCCTTGACTGTTCCTCTGTTCTCCCTCATGCCCCTTTCCTCCCAGGCTTTTCCTTGGCCCCAGCCTCGATTCCCTTACCTGACTGGATGGGCAAATCTCCCAGAAGGGTATCCCCATTGCTGAGATCCAGGCATTCCGGCGGGTACCCGACGAGAATTCGCTGATAGCTGGGGGCGATCCCGGTGATGGTGGCAATTTGGCCCTGGAGTTCCCGCACCCGAGTCCGGCTGGACAACTCCTGCAAAACATGGGTGCCATTCTTGGCCTTGCAACGGAGCCGCCACATCGTGTTGGTCTGGCTGCCCACAGGCCAGACACCCGCGGGGCCAGCTTTGGTCCCGGCAGCAGGATGGCAGACGCCGCCGGGGCAACCAGCCACCGCGGGGGCTCCAAAATGGCCACCCTTTGCCGGCCCGAACATCGCGAGAAGTCGCTGGTGGCTACGTTATCGCGATACTTTGGTGCAGCCTCGGTCTTAAACACTTTAAGAACTCTCTTAAAGTGACGACTAATTTTCGCCCCTACCCTTCAGAAGCCAAAGGCTGAAGATTTATCAGTATTCCTAAAGTACAAAAAGTCTTGCTACCTGTAGAGCGAATGAAGTACCTTCCGCGTCGGGAGCATATATGCTCAAGGAAAGAGGGCGGGTAAGAAGTTCCTGAATCCAGTACATTGGAATGTAATCTTGCACTTACTGAGGTCTTAAGTTAGTAAATTGGGGCTACCAAATTACACCGGAAGAAACAGAATCATCGTTCAGAATGCAAACGAATGCCAAGAATGGTCAGTGAGTCAAAGGACCTGTTAAAAACAACCAGATACTTGTGACTAGATTCATGGCTGTAGCAAACATTGACTCACTGAGGTTAAGGGACAACTGGCCATTCCACCTCCAGGAGACTGTAACTTGAAAACGTTAATTTGCCACATCAGAAAGCGCAGTATGAGGTCAGCATCTGGGCCTTGGGCAATTGCTACATTCAGTGGGTGGCAGTGTATAAGGAGAAGGAATGAAGAGGACTAATCTGTGTCATTCACATTCCAATTCAGGCTCTGAGTATACAGATATGAAGATGATTTCATTCTTGCCTTCAGTATAACCAGTAGTCAGTGTAATCGAAAGAGAGGGTGGGTGTAAAAGACACATAACCATTGAACTTCACAGCAACATGATAATGCTAGATTATGTGACATTTTCAAACCCGTATCCATAGAACCAAGAAGTGGTTCCAAAAAATTAATACTCATTATTTGTTTGTTTTTTTTTCAATTCTGGTTCATCAGCAAACCCTAACCAGCGTAGAGGGGTTTATTGACAGAATCAAGCATCAAACAGTCGTGGGGGTAACTACAAAAAGTTCACCTGAAATGTGCAAACTCACCTCCACTGTAAAAGCCTCTACCTCTTCCATAAGTTATATGGAAACTTTGAATATTTTCACACCTTTTATAACCCATTTTCCTGCTGGAGCCGTTTCCTCTTTGGTTCTTCAAGATGATCATAACAGATGGCATAGTGTGGGAGGGAGGAGGGAGAATAAAGAAGGTGGTTAGAAGTCCACTGGGTATGTGGTTGGGTCTCGGGAAGCTGGTGGTTTAGCGGTGAGAATGGTTGTTTTCTTAGATTACAGTGTCTGACCTATGGGAAGGATATGCAAACACCCTAAGGTAATCAATCAGCTCAAGTACTGTGGTAGCGTACTCTAGCAAAACACCTTATAAAGCTTACGTTCCAAACTATGGCTCAAACGAGATCCAGCTGGGATTCAGGTAGGAAAGGGTTAAACTCTAGGATTTTTTTTTTTTTTGCATCACCAAAAAGTTACACCCACTCAACGTGAATTAGTCTACTCTCGCGAGAGTATGAAAAAAGTAATGCTTTAGTAAACCCCGCCCCCAGCCCTATTAGTTGCCAAGCAACGATGCAACCAACCTCCATAGTGCTGGGAAACTTGGGAACTTGTCGTCTTTCTCCTTCATGATTCCATCCTCCTTCAGAAGCCAGCGTCAGCGATTCCGATTTGAGCTCCGCCCTCTAGAGCCTGCGGGCGCTGGATTGGTGGATGATTCTCTCCAGGTGAGGACCAACGTGAGGGTGGGCGGAGCTAGGCTGGGGCACTGGCTATGCGGGTGACTAGTGTGCGGGCGCCTCAGGCTACAGTTTGTCGGCTCCTTCGTGCAGCGTTACAGGGGAAGTGCCGAGGCCACTGCCGGGAGGGATCTTAGGGATCACAGGGTGAGCGACAGCTGTACAGCGCCTGGAAGAGCCTGGGAGTGTGGGAGGAAGTGGGCTGTGGGCATCCGGATGAGGTGCGGGACGACGGTGCCTTGCTGTTTCGGTGAAGTGCTGGCCCCCACGATTGCCGGGAGAGCGGACGTTCAGGGCCCGGGAGCCGCAGCTAGTGTTTGGGTTGGAGGATATGTGTGGTCGGTGGAAGAACAGTTCAAGGTCCTGAAGCAATAGGACCTTCCTACCTCACAAGTCCCTTGTCTGGATTGGAGGGCGGGGGGTGAGCTTGGGGCTCTCCCATCCCAGTTCGAGTTAGGTGACCTTGGAGAAGTCATTTACCACTTCTTTGTGCCTCAGTGTTCCTTCTATAGGCTTCGTCCCCGGGAGAGGTGCAGAGCAAAGGCTTGAGAATAAGAACATCAGAGGAGAAATGGTGACGTGCTAGGGGTGTCTCAGGGTCCAGTTACAGTTTTTCCTTCAGGAAACATGTTTGAGATTTTTCCCACTTCTCTCATTTTTTCACGACTGAATCTTCCATTTGACTGCCATTTACTTATGATAATGAACTTGATCTATTCGCCACGCACCCCATCCCCAACTACTGCTACTTGTCTCCCCAGATTCTTAAACTAGATTTTGGGGTCAGGAAGGAACTTGGATAAGGCACTTAATTTGATTGACCTCAGTTTTTCAATCTGTAAAATGGAGAGAAGTAATAACGGTAGCAAAATCTGCCTTATTACAGGATTATTGGAAGAATTGAAGAGAATTTATGTGAATGTAATTCCTAAGTCAGCATTATAAAATAAACAAGGTTCTAGTGCCCTATTTACAGATAAGGAAACAGAGGGCTGGGGGTTCATAACATCCTAGGACATGTAGCTATTAACTGGGAGATGGAGGGCTGGACTTGACTCTTGGCCTAGGGTATTTCACTTATATTGCACTGATCCTCTTCACTGAGTATTTTGAGATGTCTCCTTAATTCCTTTTGTCCCTTCCAGACATCTCCTGAAGAGCTGCCATGTCTCTGAATAATGTATCTTCTTCAGAACAGAGCAACAGTAGCTATGAAACCAAAGCCTCAAATCTTCGATTATCAGAGAAGAAATGTTGTAAGTTCTGGCAAAATGAGGGGCTGCTCTCTCCCAGGATTTTATCTCGGGGGTACAGTTGTAATCCTAGACTTTGCTGCTTGGTGGGAGTGAGAATTAATTCTTTAACATGGGAATTTAAAAGTCTACAAGGGGACTTTGCTGTTTGAAGTAAGTAGGTTCAGTGAAATGTCTGCCCTTGGAGCTGGACTCCTGGTGTGGCCCAGCATTTTCTTATTGCTTTCTTGAAATGAATCTCTGTCTCTACACTTGATTGATATTAAAAATTAAGACAAGCATTATTGTACACACAGTGAGTAAGGCAGAGTGGCGAGATACAGGAATTACTTGCGGCTGATTCTGTTAATACTTTCCCTTAGTCTCTCGGGCTAAGTTTTGTGAGGGTGCTGCTCATTGTAGAAATTGCATGTAGGAGCCAGTAGCTCATTTCTACAGACCTCAGTGGAATCAGTCCTAACAAACATTTGACTTTTCACTGTGTCTTGGGCACCTTACTTCCTCACAGGTTTAGCCTTTGAACTTTGTAAACTGTTTTTCCTACAGGTTCATTCCTCTGGGGACAGGTTTCACAGGAGCATTTGCATGTCAATCCTTTAGACCAGCAGTCCCCACCCAACCTTTTTGGCACCAGGGACTGGTGCTTCTATGAGATTCTAGTGCCTGATAATCTGAGGTGGAGCTGAGGCAGTGATGCTAGCAGCTGCAAATACAGATGAAGCTTTGCTCACTTGCTGGCCCACTGCTTACCTCCTGCTAGGCGGCCCAGTTCCTAACAGACCATAGACTGGTAAGGGTCCACAGCCCTGGGGGGTTGGGGACCGCTGCTTTAGACAGAGATGGCAGGTGGGTTTGCAGAGAGATGAAACATCTGCATTCTTAAGCATCATTATAGGCTGCAAGACTGCATAGCCCAGTCCAAAAGGTCCTGGGCAACTGAATCCCAGATGTTTTAGGAGAACCTGAAGGAATGTTAACCCTTACCTCTGCTTCCAAATTGCACGTTTCCTTTGGAATCTATCAGTCAATTCTTTTCACTTCCATGGTTATATGTATGTAATCAGCAGGTGAAAACAGCCAAACATCATGAGACCTGGAATTATCTCATGTCCAAATTTTACAAAGGAGTAAACTGAAGCATGGAGAGGATGAGCACCAATGAAGCTTGCTGGGGTTTGGGCTGTAGCAGAGGCACCTTGTTTGCATGTGATACGGGGGTTGGCATACCTCTACCATTAGGGTCCCCTTTCTCTGCCAGGACGGGAAGCTAGGTACCGAGGGCAAATACCCCATGGGAGATAACTAGAATAGCATGAATTTTGAGTGCAGCCTCTGGAGTCAGGCTGCCTGGGTTTGAATCCTGGTTTTACTACTTCCTAGCTGTGTGCCCTTGAACAAGTTGTTTATCCTCTCCATGCTTCAGTTTACTCCTTTGTAAAATCTGGATACTAATAGTATCTCCCTCCAGAGTGATGTGAGAATTAAATGAATAAATATAGGAAAGCACTTAGAAGAGTGTTGGGCACATAGCCGGATGTATTATTTTCACTGGTGATGATATTTGCATGTTGTATTTATTTCTAAAACATTATGTAAAAATTAAGTTGTACTCTAAATGCTGTACTTGGAGCTCACTGTTTAAAAGAGTCCTGTGAAGAATTATATTTTCAGTAAAGAGTGTTTTCTCCTCTTGTTTGACAATATTGTAATCCAGATTTTGGCATACAGGATGCACATCTTAAAGAGAGGTGCACTCGATTCAAAAGAGAGCGGAAAGATGGTATGTGTGCATGTGGGGAGTTGATATTTGTGGGCTCTTCTGGCCTCGCATCATGCCTGGTGTCAGTCCTCACTCCGCTTTCTTCTCCAAAGGACTCTCCTACTTATCTTCCTGACTCTTCTGCGGTTTTTCTGCCTTGAGGGCTTTTGATTAGTCAAGGAAGCAGTAGGCCCAGGTCTTTGTCCTGTTCTCTTGACTCTAAGTCCTGCATTGGACTCTGATTTCTCCTTTTCCAGCTCCACCCTCTTCTCCCCCACTGGAAGCACCTGGGTCGTACTAAAGCCACTGTCTTTCATTTACCGTGTTCTCTTTTCCCCTTTCCGATTGGACTGTGAGACCGTTGCAGCCACAGTCAAAGGAGAAATACATTTATGAGAATATGCGCTAGTTCATTTCCTTTTTCTCTGTTATTTGCCTGTATCTTGGAAGAGGCTCCCCTGGCTGCTTAGTGTTCATACCCAGCATTTGCTTATTAATAGCTCAACTGTTATCTCCTAGTTGCTAATTACACCTGTGGTGGCTGACTTGACTCTGAAATGAGTGAGCTGGAGGCCTGAAGAATGACTTTAGGGAGCCCATATCTCCAAAGGAACATTGCTGGAACTTCGGCTGCTCCAGGGGTGGGGATGAATGGGAGTAGTGATGCCTGAGGTATCTTTAAGGTACCCAGATGACTCTTGGTTTCAGGGCTCTCTG